GATTTTTGGAGGGCGTTACCAACAGAGCTCATTAACATAAACAGCTCTTCTGAACTGAAGTCAGAGCAGGCAGAACTAGAAAATGGGAAATTTTATTATCTGAGAATTATTTTGTGCGTTAAATTGAATGAACATGGTCTGGATAGCCCACAGACATACCATGAAAATTTCTAGGACCCATAATTGGTCTCCTTTAATTTAATTTTAAAATACTATGGCTGATGTTTTTAGTATTGTGTAGCACTTTGGTTTAATCTATTTGTTTTAAATGTACTTAAAAATGTTTGTCTTTAAACGCTCCAAATGTTGGACCCAGAATTATCCTTTTTCTTTATTCTGCATACACTTTGTGGTGAATATGTTCTGTTTTGTGTCCTTGCTCAGAGTGCCACCCGTCCTGCCTTCACTGCACCGGACCATCTGCAGAAAACTGCACCTCGTGTTCCTCCCCGTCCAGCCTGCACGAGGGCCGCTGTGTCCCCACCTGTCCACAAGGTCTCTTCACCCGAGACAACCAGTGTCAAGGTGAGAATCAGTAAAAAAAAAAAAGAAAAGAAAAGATTTAAAGGACCTGCAAAATATATTTCTTCAAATGAGAATTATACCCATTTTTTATACCCACATTGACTCTTATGAGCCGTTCCAAACCTCAGAAAATTAAACTAAGTGGTGTGTTAGTATAATAGCATGTTAACGGCTTAAAAGGAGCTTATCTGTGTGTTTACTCTCCAGGTTAATGAAAATCCATTTGCTCAAATCTTCCATTCATTGCCTTGGCTCGGTTCACACACCTCATCTGAGGCAACGTGACTCTTTCTCTTTCAAAATCACCATTTAATTTAAAATTTTAATCTTTAGTATTAGCTTATCTTGAGAAAGACAAAAACATCAAATAAAAACAGGGAGAATGCTTTTTTATTATAAAACTTGGCTTGAGAAATGGAAACGGCAGATGAGGAAAGATCGAGGCAGTTAAGAAGAAGAACATGTTTCGTCCCGGGACTCCAGAATAAATGAGCTGCGGTTGTTTCATTTGTCTCCTTCAGTGTTGAACTCAGTGAACTTTACTTTGAAGTTCAGCTGGTTTGTTTTAAATGGATCCACGATTAGTAGTAACATTAGACTTTATTTAATAAATGTTTATTTTAACTGTAAAATAAAGACTGTAAAAATACTGTAGGATGTTTAGTTTTTATCATTTTTAAACTGAAAATATGGAAGGAGGACCTCAGTTTAGTTTGTTAGTTTGTCGTGCTAGCGCCAAGCTAATACACATACGGCAATATAACGTCAGCGCTAAAGCTAAAGCTAACAGGCTAAACTGAGGTTCTTCTTCCATGAAGCAGCCAGGGGATTCTGATGTTGTCAGTCCATGAAATGGATGTTATTAGGTGTTATCAGTCCCATACACTGGCTTCAGAGGGTCCCTACTGTGCCTTCTAGGCTTCAGACTGTCCCGTCAGTGCCCCCTAGTGGGTTAATATATCAACGACAATGAATGTGTCAATAACCAAAAGATATTGTAATAAATTATTTGTGCCCGTCTCGAGCCCTGGTCTCCCGCTCTCTGGTCCGACACTCTACCCATTGCCCTATTGCAAAGCCACAATATATAACCGTTGGAGGGCGGGGTCTTTGGAGCTAACCATGTCATTTGCTCTAAAGTTAACCTTAGTGGCTTTAAGCCTCATATTAACCAGTTTTTTATGCCTCATGTTCAACAGATAGTGGCTTTATGCCTCCTACTAATCAGATGACAATTGGAAGCCATTCTATAGGACTGATAACACCTAATAACGTCCATTTCATGGATGATGACATCCGAAGCGGGTGAAGCAGCTCTGTTGTCCTCCATCCATATTTTCAGTTCCAGGCTGAGTCATTTCTACCTTCTCCTCTCTGTCAACGCTCTCTGGTTTCATTTAAAAGAGTCGATCATCAGATATTGTCCAAGATTAACCTTCAGGGTGGATATAGCTCGCTAGCAGCCTCGCCCCGATGACCTATCCACGTCATCATTTACCCAGAATGCTTTGTGTGGAAATAAAATTGCTCCGTCCGTGTTAAAATATATTTTTAAGAATTTACAAAACTAAACAGCCTACAGTATTTTTACAGTCTTTATTTTACAGTTAAATAAATGTTTATTAAATAAAGTCTAATGTTACAACTACTCGTGGTTCACTTTAAAAAATCACAAGAAATGAACCAAATATTCCATCGTCTTGTTTTCTGAACACATGTGTCCCTCCCAGGCTGCCATCCATCCTGCCAGACCTGCTCCGGTTCCTCCCAGGCCGACTGCACCTCCTGCGCCCCGCAGGCCTCCCTGCAGGACGGCGTCTGCGAGACGAGCTGCCAGGAGGGGCGTTTCCTCAGCGCCGCCTCAGGAGAGTGTCTCAGTAAGTCCAGCTGAGGCTCCTCTTCTGACCTGCAGAGACAGGAAGTCTCCAAAAACTGTTTTTAGGCTGAGATGTTTCATTCATGGGTTTTAAATCTCAAGTTTAAGAAAACATATTAATGTTTTTTATTTATTTGGGGGGTTCATATCAGTAAATCTTAGATTTGTTTATATCTTTAATCTTTAAAACCTCATCATTTTGCAGAGTTTTCCGAATTTTAAGAAAGCGTCAAGCATTTTAAAGCATCCAGCATCACATGTGGAGGTGATGATGTCGGCTCGTTTAGCACTCACAGTATAAAGGTAAAGGTGCTTTATTTGTCATCGGTGTATGTTCCACACAATGACGAAATTGTGCTCTGCATTTAACCCATCCACACCCAAGTGGAGCAGCGGGCAGCCATGTGAGGCGCCCGGGGAGCAGTTAGGGTTAGGTGTCTTGCTCAAGGACACCACGACATGTGGGTATGGCGGGGAGTCGAACCTAAGACTTTCGGGTCCCAAGCCGGCTGCTCTACCACTACACCACAGCCGCCCCCTATGTGACGACTCTCGGCTACTAATGTGCTAAATTCTAGCTCGTCATCTGCAAAATCGGCAGAGTTGATGAGTTTTATCCTCCATCTTTAACGAGATTCACTAAAAGTTTTTCAGTTGTGGAACTGAGCTGAACTCTGACTGAACCTGTTTCTGTTGCTTCAACTTTTATTGATAAAACAGGTTCTCTGCCGTCAGAAGGCATCTATATTTTAGATCCTTCTGAGCAGAAAAAAACAGGCTGGATGGAGAAAAGATCACATTTCTCAAAAAAATAAAAAATTTTCATTAAAAATCACTAGAAAAAACAACCGTAATCACTTATTCATCATCTGAATCAACAGAATCAGTAACTCTGTTGTGTACCTTAAGGCCAGAGGAAAAAAAGATCTTACCTGACACTCCCTCTGACATTCAATAACAGAGAATGCAGACAGAATAAGATATTTTCAATTAAAGATTCAGACGATGTAAAGCAGTCATGTTTTCTCCAAGCCTTCAGGTTAAACAGATGAATCTGAACATCAGGCAGGACTCCGTGCTGTTATTTCTGACCTGATATTTAGACGTGAAACAGATTTCAGTTGCTGTGTGGGAATAAAAGCAACAAATTGCTGCCTCTGGCTCCCACTCATCTTTTCACTCCCCCTTTTTTTCATTCTCCAGTCCTGTTTTTTTTTTTTTTTTTTTGGTACAAAATGATCTTGGACAAAAATGAGGAAACACTTTTCTTTCTTGAAAAGTTCAAATGAACTGCTACTCTGAAATGTTTCACCCAGAGCTCATAATCCATTGTTTAGCAAAGTACCAGGCCGAAAATAGATTTATATAGGAGGTGAAAAAGAATCATAAAAAATACACGAAACCACCAGAAAATAAACTCCTGTTTAGTTTACTGGATGGATGGATGGATGGATGGATGGATGGATGGATGGATGGATGATGGGTGGATGAAGGATGGATAAATGGATGGATGGATGGATGGATGGATGGATGGATAAATGGATGGATGGGTGGATGATGGATGGATGGATGGATGGATGGATGGATGATGGATGGATGGATGGGTGGATGGATGGATGGNTGGATGGATGATGGATGGATGGATGGGTGGATGGATGGATGGGTGGATAATGGGTGGATGGGTGGATGATGGATGGATGGATGGATGGATGGATGATGGGTGGATGGATGGATGGATGGATGATGGATGGATGGATGGATGGATGGATAGGTGGGTGGATGGGTGGATGAAGGATGGATGAGTGGATGATGGATGGATGGATGGGTGGATGATGGATGGATGGGTGGATGATGGATGGATGGATGGGTGGATGGATGGATGGATGGGTGGATGGATGGATGGATGGATGGGTGGGTGGATGGGTGGATGTATGTATGGGTGGATGAAGAATGGATAAATGGATGGATGGATGGATGGATGAAGAATGGATAAATGGATGGATGGATGGATGGATGGATGAATGGATGGATGGATGGATGGATGGATGGATGGATGGAGGATGGATGGATGGATGAATGGATGGATGGATGGATGTATGTATGGGTGGATGAAGGATGGATAAATGGATGGATGGGTGGATGATGGATGGATGGATGGATGAATGGATGGATGGATGGGTGGATGAGTGGATGAAGGATGGATAAATAGATGGATGGGTGGATGATGGATGAATGGATGAAGGATGGATCCACCCACCCATCCATCCATTTATCCATTTATCCATCCTTCATAAGAACACCTCTCAGCTACACTCCAAACTTCAGCGGTTGTGTTTGTTCAGATCCGTTAGCTCTGGCAGACATCTTGTATCAGGTTTACTTCAGTTGTTTTAAAGCTGTTCAGCGGTTTTATTAGATATTTTTTAGGAGTAAACACAAAGATTCACTATGTATAAAGTATAGTGGTTAGCATTAGCTTCTACCAATGTTGTAATCTGTTTAGCTTTAGCGGAGCTAAGATTCTTGTTTAGCAGACCTGACTTTTTGCTAGCAGTGCCCACCACTAGAGGAGCAGGACCTCCTCAGAACCTGTAACGTGTCGGACCACCCAGCTCCTCTCCTGACCCACTTCCTCTTATCTCCTGCCTGATTTCTGCACTCAGGCTTCATCAGAGCGGAGCCCTCTGAGCCAAACACCAAGTCTCAGGGAGGCGATCAGCCGAGCAGCATCTGTCTGGATTGTCGTGTTTGAAGACGTCATTAGGTTTATTGCAGGAAATGCAGGGGAGGAAAAAAAACAGCTTTAGACGTCTGATATGAATCCGTCCCACCGGAGACGAGCAGGTTCATTTATATCCCCTTCATATCGCTTTTATTTGCTTCAGAAATGGTAACTGTTCTCTAAAGAGGGACTCAAACAAGCCGGATCAATACCGTTTTAGTTTTATATTCAGTTTTAGTCTGCAGAGTCGATAATCCCTGACGCCTGACTAATCTCAGCTCCGGTGTGGAGCGACAGGATCGGCAGGAGGAACGCTGATACACGTGTTCTGACAAAGTGATGTTTTATGGAAGGAGATTGTGACACTGAGACGTTTTTTAAAATTTATTTATTTTTATTAAAGTAGGACAATTGAAGCAGAGTTCAGCAGGAAGCAGAAATATTCAGTTTTAATGAGGAATAAAACGCAGCAGCAGCAAAATAAACCAGCATCTTTTTAGAAAGACCATGTGTTTGTTAACGTGTGGGAACATCAAAAAAATAAACCAAAAAACTTGAGTTTTAAATGTAATTCAGCAGAGTTGTAAAGTAACTAAGTACAAATACTTTGTTACTGTACTTAAGTAGAAATTTTGGTTATCTGTACTTTACTTAAGTAATTATTTTTCAGCATACTTTTTACTTTTACTCATTACAATTTTACACAATTGTCTGTACTTATACTCACTACATTTTTTAAAAAGGTAAGAAGTAGAAAGTCGTTACTCCTAATTTATTCTGAGTTGTTATTAATTAAAAAATCCTAACCTGATAAATTGTGTCTCCTGGAGAGAGTGAATTTAACTGTAGTTGGATGAGAAGTATAAATATTTACATACTGTATTAGTTTGTACACAACCCATCACAGCTGCACGCTGTTAGAAAATATATTTTTTGGAGAAGTCACCTCCTAATAAATGTTATTTTGGAAAATCTAACTGCTCACTTTTACTCAGTACTTTTACTTTTAATACTTAAGTAGATTTTGTGTCAGAAATTTACTTAAGATAAGATACTTTAAGATACTTTAAGACTTTTACTCAAGTAATATTTTTAGAGAAGACTTTAACTTTTACCAAAGTATTCTTATAATAAGATACTTGTACTTTTACTCAAGTATCACTTTGAGGTACTTTATACAACACTGTAATTCAGTAGATTTTTCACCAACAAAATGACTCAGAACTGGGTTTGTTGTGGTTCAGGTGATGTTCCACCGTAAATCAACAAAAGGTAATCCTGCGATCCGTCTCTTACGGTTTTCTCACCTGCAGAGCCCCCATGCTCCTCTGGTGGTTATCAGACAATCGAGGGTCCGGTTTAAACACGACGCAGACGTCTGATAACAACACCTGGAGGAGGGGGGGTGGTCTCTGTGGGGTTTATCTGGGACCCGCCTGCGTGACGGCGCTGCTGTCTGAGAGGATGTGGGTCTGTGTTTCTAACCCTGATGTGTGAAAAAAACAAACAGATGACTCGAACACCACTTTGAGTTCTGCTGCCATCTTGTTAACGATGAACCTGCACAGGTCTGACCTCTTTCTTTGTGCGTTGTGTTGTCTTCTATCATGTGCGAACGTGAGTTGTGTTTTTACCACCTAACGTGTTGTCTGTCTTAGTTTCCTTTTATGTTAGCATCCAGTGGTGCCACTAGTCCCCTAAAGTGCAAATGTGCTCATTGTGGACCTAAATTTCTCTTTTGCGCTTTGGAGGTTTTACTAATTTCATAAAATAGAATAG